AATCGATGTCACACTCAAGAAAAAAGTTTGAATACTACTTGTGTCAATGGGCCGTCACTTTTGTCAGGTAATTCTGATTTTGAGAGGGGGTTTTGAAAAAGGGGATTGAAATATTGTGGAATGAAGAAAGAAGTATTTTATAATTTTAAGATAAATCCAGTAGGTATAAGCTGTGAGGTGAGTAGAAGACAGGCTAAGACGGTAGATATCTGAGACACTACTATGTTTCCTTTATTGCTAGATTGCTTAGTTGGCTACGTGGTATTTAAGCCAGGGCCCTTCGGAGCTCAAGCTGAAATTGCCAAATAATCGTTTTGGAAACCTTTCACCATTTGTGTCAGCCTGTCCGGTGTAGTGTTTGGATCTATCCTGAATACGTGGAGATGAGCGGAGTTTGAAAAGCCCTTAGTAGTATCATTACTGCCTGTGTCAACATTATATCTACGCATCCGTTTCTTATGACTAACTTTCGTCCATTCATGAAGACTCGTCATCTTTCGTAATGGTGATGTATTTTTGAGCAGTTACTTTAGTATGAGCTTGTTATGGATTACAAACCTTTTGGGTTACTGTGCCATAGTAGCGCATGTATTTAAAGTAGACGCTTCATTTTCCCTCTACTTTTTATTCTGTCTTCGATGATATACTCGTTGTTTATATCGTTGGGCATCAATAGCTTCTGAGTTACAGTTACAAATCATGCTAATGATTTGCAGATGTTGACAAGAGGTTCACGACCTATTTGGTCAATAACCCTTTTTTCCAAGGCTATGAAAATATCAGTAATTTCATTCCTCCATCGTTTCGTATAGACTGTGTACCAGTTGCTAATATGCATATCATTTGTTGAGCTCCTGTTTTGTTTACGTTCATTTTTTTCTCAGACTTTAAAGTTTCAATCGTAGTAGTGGCTATATTTGAAGTTGAGTCATTAATTTTCAGATAATGATTGTAGAAGGAAGATAAACCAAAATATGTGTGTAAAAATAAAAAAAAAATTAAAAAAAAATGTTACCCTGTTTTATAAAGTATCCTCCCGACAAGTATTTCAGTGCGGACCTGTATTTGATCATGAGGTCTTGGAGCACCGGCATGCCCTCCCCTGTGAGGTCTTAAGTCACCTGATTCACGAGCCCTTTGTACTACATTAACAAAGGCACGAGGGGTTGGTTGCACTCGATTGGGAACCCGATCCGCATAAATTCGTGATGCCGCGGCAGCATTTTGTAAAGACTACCCCCCCGTAAATAAGAATCATGTCCACAAGTTCAGCATTTTCGTAAACATGTGCCATTTTTTATTTCGTTTGAGCCACGCAACAAACACCACTATTCACTCACGCGTTACCGACTGACATATTGACTGAATACAACTGAATAAAATTGTAGTAAAAACATCATGATAAGCGTTTCAAATTCTTTCGCTTTTTTGTTTCCGATGCGATGAACCGATAAGGCGGATTATATACGTTGTTGCCAAACACGAGCACATAATATTATTATTGAGACAGGGCGGTACTCAAACTTCTAAAGGGCTATAACTTTGTTACTTTAATTTTACCAGAAAAATGTTAAAGGAAAAAACATTTCTTTTGATCAGATCTACTCACTGTTAAAATAAATACTCAACTTCGAAGTCACCCTGTATAAAATCTTCCAAACTTTCCATCTCCTGCTTTCTTGCTCAGCTGGCATTTTTCAGAGCAAAAAATGCATCTTGGCTCATGCCAATTTGAATATTCTTTCTCTCTAGTCAGTTTTTACAACCATTGTTAGCTATATCTTCCTGTAATTTATGTACTTTTCAACCAGATTAAGGTAATCTCCTAGATATCCCAAAATAACCACAAAAAAGTCTCGTTTTTTGAGTTTTTGGATTGTGTTGAAGTATAGATGATTTCATAAACTATAGGCGTTTATTGTGAATCTAGCATTTGTTTCTATGGACTTACTTATTATCAGTGGTCATAAATATAACTATAGTAATTCTTCAAGACGTGATAATTTTCCAATCACTTGGAGCTGTTGCCAAATATATATACTGAGTGACAGAAAAAAGTAGGTGTCACTCAGTATATAATTGGCTTCAGTACCATCTATCAGATACTAAGCTTCTCAGAATAGACTACTAATGAGTGCGGAGAGGAGCATGATGAAATATATTCTGGAAACGAAACCCACCAATTCGACTGATTTTATTCAGCGTCATCAGTGTTTCGATTGGCAAGCGCGTTATAGGTCATTCATAAGGAGCAATGCACATAATTCGTTGCTACTTCTTCCGACTGTACTCACTGATTTGATACGTGCTTCTACTAGAAATTGGTGAAATGGCGCGCCGATAACCGCACGTGTATGATACGGCAAAAGATAACTTGCATGTACGATTTCAAGTGACATGTAACTAAATTAGACCCTTCTTTACAGATACACCACTCGGCGAAATATTTTCTCCCATCTTTGAACAAAATAAACCCTAGCTTAAACTGCATTCCATTGAGTTTTTTAGTTCTGAGCAAGATCGACCATATAGCCTTTTTAGTTGATATAAAGGCTAGCACGAAAACAGATTTCTGGTATCTTTTCCAGTTTGCTCATAAAACTACTTTATATTTCCGCAGGGACACCCTGTATACAGGGTGTTAATAAAGCATGTACACAAACTTCAGGAGGTGATTTTTTGCGTAATTTTAAGATGAAAAGTTTGTGTAAACATAGGTCCAGATATGCTGCGTTTTCAAGATACAGGGTGTCAAACTTTTTTAAAAGTCGGTTTCTTCCTAAATATCTTAATGAACTTTCAGTCGATTTTGTTCAAATTCTGCAGTACTAATAAGTACAGTAAGGGGCTAATCTAGCTCCTATTAGATTGAAATCATCAAATCCAGTGGCGTTCCGGAAAACACCCTAACCAACATCAAAAAATTTGTGGGCCAATGACTTTTTCCAATTTTTCTATTTTTGCTCGAATTTAGCAGCTAAAAATACAAACTTGTTTATTTACTCAGTTCCTTTCATATCTCGCTTCGTTTTCAAGATATAAAATAAGAAGGACTTTATTGCATGTTTTTTATAATTAAGTTACACCAATGTCGTCTTTTGAATTTTTTTGCTCAGGGTATACCTGCTTTCGATAAAACAAATAAGCATAAAATATTTACATAACGTTATTTATTGATGCAATGTTTTGCCAGTGGTGTTGCACAGTCTCTCAGGAGACAAAAAAGTTGTATTTTTAGCTCCTTCGAAGAAAATTGAGAAACTGAAAAAGGTCAGTCGCGCCCAATTCTTTTGTCATAAATATTGGTTAGATTAATTCTTAAAAACACTTCAAATAATATAAATAACGGGCACTGCTTTAAGTAAGTTATGTCAAAGCCAGATTTGTTTGAGTAGCAATTGTTTTTCATTCATTGCGCTCTTATTTTTTGTTACTTTTAAAATATTGCTGTTATAAACTATTACGTTATGCGATTATTATATATTATTTTGTTTTATAAAATTCAAGAGATTACTTTCGTCTAATGTAAGTTTGGTGGTTTCAATGTTTTATTATGTTATTGCCCCATGGACATGCAATAAAGGTCTGTTTATTTTTTATCTCGCAAACAAAGTGAGATAAAAAATTCGGCAGACAGTATTTTCAGCTACTTAACTCGAAAAAAAAATAGAAAAATTGAAAAAAGTGCCGCACAAATTTTTTGTCTAAGATATTGGTCATGGTGTTTTTCGGGATCCCACTGGACTTGATGATTTCAAACTAACTGGGGCTAAATTAATCCCTTACTGCCCTTAATACCACTGCTGAATTTGAACAAAGTCGACTGAAAATTTATTAAGGTATTTAGGAACAACCGATTTTTTTATAATCGTATCTTGAAAATGAAGCATTTTTGGACTTATGTTTATATTAACTTTTCATCTTATGATGACTCAAAAAATCATCTAAACTTTGTCTACGTACCCTGTATAATAGAAGCAACCGCCGCAGCTAGAGCAGTTCTCAAAATTAGTTGCTAGAGAAAAAGAAATGGATCAATAAGACATGTTACACGTATATGCAACTGCCATTTCGCTAGCACCTTTTTCTCCTCTGAACCTCCCTGTTATACAGGGTGACTTTGAAGTTGAGTCATTAATTTTCAGATAATGATTGTAGAAGGAAGATAAACCAGAATATGTGTGTAAAAATAAAAAAAAATTAAAAAAAAATGTTTACCTTGTTTTATAAAGTATCCTCCCGACAAGTATTTCAGTGCGGACCTGTATTTGATCGTGAGGTCCCCTGTGAGGTCTTAAGTCACCTGATTCACGAGCCCGTTGTACTACATTAACAAAGGCACGAGGGGTTGGTTGCACTCGATTGGGAAACCGATCCGCATAAACATGTGCCATTTTTTATTTCGTTTGAGCCACGCAACACATACCACTATTCACTGACACTAACTGTATACAAATGAATGAGATACCTGTAAAAACATCGTTCCAAATTCTTTCGCTTTTTTGTTTCCGATGCGATGAACCGATACGGCGGATTATATCCATTGTCGCCAAACACGACCTCATAATATTGTTATTGAGACAGGGCGGTACTCAAACTTCCAAAGGGCTATAACTTTGTTACTTTAATTTTACCAGGAAAATGGTAAAGGAAAAAAACATTTCTTTTGATCAGATCTACTCACTGTTAAAATAAATGACTCAACTTCGAAGTCACCCTGTATATCTCTTTCTTACGACGACACCGACAGCCTCATGAGCATTGTGCCTCCACGCCGCACTAAGTTTCAAAGGGAATATTGTTTGGCGTGCAGGTAACGCTCATTCAGAAAATGTAGAGCAACCCTAAAATGTTCCTCAGTCTTATTTCTTTGAGACTATTCGTGCTCATCGGGGTGAGAATATCTCAAATAAAATTACGTTTGCTGTGAGTACTGGGTGCTTCATACCGCAGCGCTGGAAAGCACGGCATCATTTTATGACGAATACTGACCTACTAACCTGAGCAGGATCTATGGTTTTCTTCAGCCTGTCTGTGCGTCTGTGTATTTGAACCCTGTACCTGTACATTTCCAGATTCTAGAATCGTTTCAATGGTGATGAGAAATATATGAGCACCAGATAGCAGGTACGCTAAGTCGCAGCAGAGTACAACTTTGGACCTCTGTAAGAATTTCGAGTCTATCGATATGCTTTTGTTGTATGTGTGTTCCATAAACAATTATATTTATCACAAGATCAGCCCCTCTTAGATAATAGTTAACCGCAAATATGTATTTCAAAGGACTTGGATGGAAGAAGTCAATAAAATATTGACAAACTTGCGATCTCGAGATTCCTCCTCTACCCTACTGCCCATACAACAATGTTGCTTTGCGGTCACACTTATGGTCAGTGACTCTCGCTAGCCGCAGTTGCCAGCTGGCGACGAGTTTCTCGTATCTACTTATTATACAGGATGTCGTTCTCTTCCCAAAAACAATTAAGTTTAAGACGACGATAGAATTATAAACATGAAAAAACAAGAATCTCACCTCACAAGCATACGCAGTACGGCCCTGTACCTTTCCACCTTTATTACGAGAGTAGATAAAAAATGAACGACACAACTTGCGCAAAAATACCGAATTGTAACGTTGTATTAGCGCCTAAGCTGATCAAAAAGCATAGGTAGTGTGGAAATAAAATGGACTATAGAAGAGAAGCGTCACTTCGCCGTTAAAACAGTTTTTGGAGAGGTGTCTGAAATGACGTTATGGTATCGAAAATCCTACATGCATTTCAACGGTGGCGTCTGTGATATAGCAGGTAAACAACCAGATAATGAAGATCACCTGCACCAGAAGTATGTCACGTGTCGCTAAACATGCAGGAAGTGGGATGCTGCCATTTTGACACTCCGCTAATCATGTAAAAGCGAGTTATTCCAACATATTTGGAATTTGAGATATCGTCTCCTAAGTAACACCGGAACTAAAAAATAAGATATGCGTTTACTTGAAAGAGACTACAGTGGTTACAGAAACGTCGTCAGTAGACAGTATTTCAAGCATATGAGATTCCATTTGCGGTGACACGGACATGAGGAATTATAAGATATACGCTTGTCATTCCATAGCGAATCCAAAGATCCACCTTTATTTTGCTCTTCTATAAAGGCGAGATGTTATTTTTATCGAACAGCTGTGATCTCGGTGTAACTATCAGAAAATATTCATTCAACATTTTTGTATGAATCATGAGTTGGGAGTACCAAAAAGAAGGCACAAATTTGATATTTAGTTTTATATCCTACGTCAACGAGCAATGACAAAAGTTTCCAATGTATTTTGAGTTTTATACTTTTATGGCATTTCATGATATATCCAAAAAGTATGGATTGCTTGTTCTAACATCGGTTGTAGATTGTTTAAGTATGTTGCGAGAAAATAGATGTGTTCCACTTTTTCTACTTTATTTTATACTCTCTAGTCTTCTGTACGTTTTTTTTTCACTGAAACATGAATACGAACTTTTGAAAGACAAAGTGCCTGAAAAAGCTTTTAGGATATAAGCACAAAGTCTGGATATTCTGATGTCTTTTCTGGTTGAACACAAATGATTATTTCAGAAGTTATTCAGCGTGAAGGTTGATTCGTCCGTGACCAATAAGGACTGCAACAACCACTCACAAAAACATACACTGGCAGGAAAATCGTCAGCTTTGAGGGCGTTTACAAAAGCGTACCAACCATCAACACGTAACGTTTACCACGTTTCAGCCTTGAAGACTTGTACTTATCTAGCCACGTCCCTAGTGCTTGTTGAATGATTTTCTTCCACAAGATTCGGTTCGCCCACTGTGCCTACCTCGAGATTTCCTGCAAACGACCTATATTCTCTTTGCACAAGGTAAGCGAATTTTCGCGGCCCTGAATGATAAAGTTTGGAAAAGAGATCTGCATACACTCGTGAAGCCTCGGTAGCATTTTGAAGACACTCACCATAAAACAAGTTCGATATGGTATCGTTTCTTCTCAATCCGACTGATAAATTTCCGGTGCCTTTGCTGAGTACTGACATGTGCCGTGTCATTGTTGATCTGATCCAGGTAGGTTTGTGTTCGGTTTGACCGATTTTGTGGAGCCTAATATCTCGGTCACTCTGTGATTTTGGTGTATATGCTACAAGGAAAAACCGCTAATTTCTTCGAGACCCATACGCCGCGTAAAGAAAGTCCTAACTTTGCGGATTACCCAGTGTATTTGATTTTAGAGCAAATGTACTGGGAAATCTATGAGTGAGATATGTCTGATAGGTGCGTAGGATTACCGCGGTTCGAACAGTATAATTGCTAAAGCTGAAAAATCGAGGTAAATCCCAACACCGCCATTTTTCAAAAACCACTCCGTTCTCAAGAAACTCTCCGCAACAATACAACAAAAGGAAAGGCTGCCCAATACGACACGATCGCCTGCTGCCCGGATTGCACTACAGGCAGCGTGGCGGAATTCTTTTCAACTGAATACGGAGTATCAAAGTCGACCTGTACGATTGCTAACGAGCTTCCATTGTTCTGGCACGGCGAGCTTTGTGGCGCTCTACCGCTACCATAACGAATACTTCAGCGTCTCTCTATATTATTTGGATTCTCCCCCTCTTATTGTTTGTCGCTGCATCAGTTAAGCTCAAAGGAAGTTGAGAAAGGATCCACCTGCAAATATAACAGATACCTTAGATCTGACTACACAGCTGATGAAGGCAAAGGAATGGCTAGTATGCTCTTCATCGGCATTGAGTCTTGCAAGGTTTTCGAAGAATGTAATTTGTTGACTTCAGATAAGAGGTAATATACAGGATGATTCACAAGTCGTGACGAAAAATGGAACATCGTACACAGGACTGCATTTTAAGGGGGTCTTCAATGCAACATTTGTTCCTCGAGGGTTAAATTAAAAAGTTACCAGGTGTAATAAAAGACAATTTCTTTTAATATCTCTTCAAAATCGTCAACTGGAATAAACTAAAATTTGGTAACTGGATTTACCTAAGTATTGTCCATATTCAAAAGTCTTTACTTAAGATTAACGTGCACCAGTGGCGGAGATACAGGGGAATATTGGCACCATTTTTCCAAATGAAAATAGTACGTCACAGTTTTTTTTTCGAAACGGGAAATTTTTCGAAGTTTACCTTCAATTTGCTACAAATATGCACTGTTTTCGTAAAAATAAAAATAAAACAAATTAGATCCATTTGTGAAGAGCCGAGATACAATTAGTTTCAAAATAAAGTAGGAGGCCTTGATACCAACTTGACGTTTGTTGGGAGAAAGTTTGTCAAAGTTATGTGTTATACGGTAGGTTATCGTAACTGATTTTTTGCTAGTATCTTTTTGGCAACACTGTTTTTGGTGTTTGACAGATGACGCGTGAATCGTGTCTTGTGTCATTGTCAAACTTGTTCAGTTTGATCTATAATTTAACCATGAATCGACTTACTAACGAACAACGCCTGCAAATTATTGAATTTTACTATCAAAATTCATGCTCGGTTAAGAGAGTGCATCGAGCACTGCTTCCAATTTATGGGCAATTTGGTCGGCCTACTGAGGGAGCTATTCGCAAGCTTGTGACTAAATTTCCAACCCAGTTTACATTATTGGACATTAAACCACCAACACGCAGACGTAGAATGAGAACTAAAGAAAATATTGCGGCTGAATCCGCCAGTGTTAGTGATGACCGTGAAATGTCGATTCGCCGCCGTTCGCAGCAATTGGGCCTCTGTTACTCCACTACGTGGAAAATTTTGCGACAGGATTTGGGTGTAAAACCTTATAAGATACAGCTGGTGCAAGAATTGAAGCCACACGACCTACCACAACGTTTCCAATTTGGTGAATGGGCGCCGGCAAAGTTGGAGGAAGATCCACATTTTTATCGAAAAATTGTGTTTAGCGACGAAGCTCATTTCTGGTTGAATGTTTGGTGTGGATTATGGGCCGGTGGAATCATCGGGCCGTACTTCTTCAACGACGACAATGGCCGGAACGTAAGTGTGAATGGCGTGCGCTACCGTGCGATGATAACAAACTTTTTTTTGCCCAAAATGGAAGAGCTGGACTTAGCTGACATGTGGTTTCAACAAGGCGGTGCCACATGCACACCGCACACTAAACAATGGCCCTTTTGAGAGGCGAGTTCGGTGAACAGTTTATCTCACGTTTGGGGCCTGTCAATTGGACCGCCTAGATCATGTGATTTAACGCTGTTGGACTATTTCTTGTGGGGCCATGTTAAGGCTAATGTCTACAGGATAAGTCAGCAACTATTGACGCACTGGAAGCCAATATTGAAGCATTTATTCATGAGATACCGGCCGATATATTGGAGAGAGTGTGCCAAAATTGGACCTCGCGCATGGGCCATCTAAAGCGGAGACGCGACCAACATTTACATGAAATAATCTTTAAACATTAAATTATATCTACCGTTCTATCGACTCAAATAAAGATTTAATCGTTTTTTCAAATTTTTTGGGTTTTTTTTTTGAAAACCAAATCATATACCTCTTAAAAAATCACCCGTTGCAACCAAGTCAAGTCAAAACTTTATTTTTTCCATTTTTGAGTTGTTGTGAATTAGAATTAAGCAATGGTGAGTACGCCGATAGCATTTTTGTGTACGGGTTCTGTAATGAAAATGCTTTAGCGTCTCTCGGGAGTATCGCCGTAGATTTCCTAACAAACGCCAAGCTACCCCTGAGGTTTTTACGTGTTCACTTCTAAGACTTCGAAAATATTGGGTTGCTAAGTTTCCCGAAGTTAGAGACCATACTATTCAAGAGGAACTGGAAGTGACTAATTTGGCGTTGGATGATCCTATTACCAGGGTTTGCGAGGAGAATTATATTGGGAAGTTTTAAATTTTTGCCATCGGCAAGATGCAATCCGGCGACGAAGTGCAACGGCGAAATTTTTGTGAGTAGTTACTGCAAATGCATAATCAAAATGCAAATTTTATCGATTTCGTTTTGTGGTCAGATAAATCGCTTTTTACGAAGAGTGGAAGCTTGTAACAGTTGCCTTTTATTGCCGATGAATCATATATTTTTGTTGTCGTTTTTGTCGCACAGGTTAAATTTGAAGTAATGCAGCAAGAACTTGAGAAAGAAGAAACAAAAGCCGATAATCTAATCTAATAATCTCCGTAGCATATTATTTTTATTCATAGCATATTATTAAATCAATTTTATTGACAAAAATGACTTGACCGGCCCATTGGCCATTTCCCAAGATAAGGCTGGTTTGTAAAGGTGTATTTAGCTGTATTTTTCTCACGTAATTCATAACCAAAATAAATAACACGCAGACATTTACCTATTATCATGTTTATTTGAAATAACAAACATAACACATGAATATCACGGAATAACTATAATTTTTAATTTGTATCCGTTGTTTTTCTTCTGTAGTCGTTTGGCTGCCTGTATATAGTAGTCAGCATCTTCTATATCACTGAACAATTTGGGAACTAAAACCAAATATTTCTCATTCAATTAAACATAATCCATCCTGATCTATTTTATAATCCAAAAATTTCAATTATTAAATTTAACGTACAGCAATCGCACTCCATTTTGATTATCTTTACAGTTTCTACCACTAAGTTTATAAATGTGTAGTCAATTTTCCATGCATTCAGGTAATTAATTAAAGAATTTGCTCACCCTGATATGGACAATTTCTTCTTGTGTTACCTAGTAATTTCTCTGGTTCACCATGAGTAATAATTTTAGTATTCGCCTCCACATATTTTCATAAATAACTCGGTCAAGAAATCAATTCAATCTCGAAATTTAAACCTCGGGGATTTGCTTACATCCCAACAACAATCCGGTTTGTCACTCCGGAGCTAAAAATAATAAATAAATAATAATAATGTACATCTATAAATTGATATCACCTTCTGAATTAAAAAATATTTGTGTTGCATAAATATTATTACTCACCTATTGGACTATGTATTTCTTTTATAGTCAGATGAATTTATTATGGTTTCTGAAATCTTCCAATGTCAAAGGCTGATGTCGCTGATGTCGAGGTACTATTCTGCGTACCGAACTACTTGCACACCTCGCTTGTTCCGCATAGTTGCCAATTTTATTTCAGAATTTCCTTATGTTTATAATCAATCAAATTTATATGCAGATATGACAGTGTTGCCACATTTATTCACGATATTTCCTTGAATTTATATTAGGAACCTTCTCATTTTGGGATTAGCCGACAACGTTTGGCTCTTAATGGTCAGGCGCACAACTGTATTTGGAAATGTCAAGTTGAAAAAAATTAAATTTTGGGAGGGGACTTCCTTCCACTATCGGAGGGGCATCTTGTTCTGTTCCGCTAGTGCCAGAAGACCTGAAATTTTGTGGAAGAAAATTTCATAGACAATTTCCTGGGTCATTCCTGTTGTGAGTGCGTAGCATCTTTTTTTGTCTACCCTTGGACACGAGAAATTCTACAATTGTAGGATCTTATTGTCTTCAACCGCACTTTTCGCCAGACTGAACCACGTGAAAAACCCTACCTGACATCATCTAGGGTTTTTTATTTTGGGGCAATCTTCGCTACTGGAGATCTATTGACACGTTTTCTACCGGGGACCTCTTTCCGAACAGAGACCCTTTTTCCACCATAGGGATTCTTACGTCATCGGTTTTGAAGCCTTCCTCGCCCATTTTAAATTAGTTAGTCAATAAGCTTTCGCATTAAGGGAGATCTCCTAGTGTGGCTGCCTTAAATTTTCGTTGTTAGCCGTTAGTAGATGTAATAAAATGTATCGATGTTAATTTTAGCAATTATTAACCCACACAGAAAATCTATTGTTTCTATGTATTTTTGTTTTTGTTTCTTGGAGTTTTGGGGCTAAAGAGTGCCTTTCAACACCAAGGCGTCTTAAAAAATACCCCCCTGCTCTCCGGCGTACCTGAGCATAGGGCCTAATTTGCCAACGCTAAACCACCGCTTTAGCCTCAGTAACCCCCTAGTTTTTTTTAATCATCCATTGCCTCAATTGAGAGAAATAATTTTAGCATTAAAATTAAAAAGTGATTTTTACTTAAAAATAAGAAGAGCGTGGCAAGCTTCAATTCTCATAATGAACATGTTTGGTCACAAGAAAATCCCTGCCCTGCAAGAATGTACTCGTATCAACACAGATTTATAGAAATGTCTGGAGGGGATCTTCAAATGCAAGTATTGCCCCAACGTTTAAATGCAAACTCATTCTTACTTTTTCTAGAGAATTGCATAGAGAATGTGTTAGATGTCCCGTTAGCAACTAGAGTACGGATGAGGTATCAACACCACAGTGCCCCACCGCATGTTCGTCGTGACATATCATTTTAGACAACGATGGATTGACAGAAACGGACCCGTACAGTCGTCTGCGAGATCTCCTGGTATAGATGTCGCACTTGCATCCGTCAGGATGATGAACGTTTATTGAAATAAAGCTTTGATCATCCAATCTGTTTTTTTATTTTTACGAAAACAATGGACCCTATCAAAAAAACACAACAGTGATTATTTATAGCAAGTTAAAGGTAAAATTCGAAAAATTACGCAATTCGAAAAAAAAGACATTTGCGGACCATTTTTATTTGGAAAAACAATGCCATTAATCGCCTGTATCTCCGCGACCAGTGCACGCTAAAAACCAGCAACGTCTTTGAAATTGAAACGATTTAAGTGTTAAGGACAGGGTGTTCAGTAAGCAAATGGCAGGAAGAATTGATCGAGACCCTTTCATGAACAAAAATAAAACAGTTTTGAATTGATCTTTACAAATATACAGGGTGTTTCAGTTTATTGTTGGATAACTTTAAGATTCGATAGAACTTTTAAAATTAATGCATAAAGTCTATATAAACATGGGTCAAAAAATGCGTGGCTTCCGAAATACAGGGTGTTTAAATTTACTTTCTATAATAGTTTTTTTTTAAATATTTCGAACAATATTTGATGTATAATAGTGAAAATTGGTATACGAGGGTTTTTTGGTACGACAAAACGAACCATTGGCATAGTTTTACTGTAGCCGCTAGAGGGCGATCTCTACTGTACCTGTAGTGTATTAAAATGACCGAAAAATTTTTCTTAGTCAAATTTTTTGCTTTTTGAATAAAAAAACTGATTCTTCGCACTATTCAACATAAAAAAGCTCTCTTGTGGATTTTCGTTATAGTTAGCCGTTTTTGAGATATTTCGATTTTTAAGGTTCGATGCATTTTTAATTATGATAAAATAACGGTAAAAAGTCAGTATCTCGATAATTTTTAGAAGTAGGCTATGCCTGCAAATATTTTTGAAATTGAAAGCAGAATAAGGTTGAACGTCAATTAGTTGACAGTTAGTTTTGTTGTCTGTTGAAACCTGAAACGTTTTTTTGCAATTGTGAATGCAGGAAATTTAGTTTCTTTTACCTGTTTTTTTTGTAGGTTTTATAAAAATGCCATTTTTATTCTCCAATCAAGAGTTAACGGATATTCATTTTGTGTATGGCTTTGTAAATGGAAACGCAGCCAGAGAATACGCACAAAGATTTTCAAACAGACGACATCCAACTCGCTCAGTATTTGTAAGAGTGCATCGCCAAATAATTGAAAATGGTTTTGGAAATCTCCAAAGGGATCAAAACATAAATGTTCGTCAGCGCAGATTTACCCGTATGATTCTGCGTGAGTTTGATAGAGATCCGACCACAAGTGTTAGGAGAGTTTCTGGTGCCTTGGGAATTTCAGCAAGCCATGTTCACCGTGTTCTTGGAAATGACCATAGACGTCCTTACCATTTGCAACCTGTGCAAGGACTACGGCCAGGGGACGGAGAACGAAGTATCACATTTTATCAGTGGATTCTTCATAGAAGTGATAATAATAGGGAGTTTTTAAGTAACGTTTTATGGACCGATGAGTCATGCTTCACTAGACGTGGAGTGGTAAATTTTCATAATAAACATATTTGATCGCATGAAAATCCACATGCAGTTCGGGAAAGAAATTTTCAGCATGAATTTAGTGTGAACGTGTGGATTGGTATCTACCGTAATTGACTATTTGGACCCTACCTTTTGCCTGCAAGGTTAAATGTTGCCACCTTCTTGGAATTTTTAAAGTCTGAACATGCAAATATGTGGGATGATGTTATGTTAGATTTAAGAAGATTGGCCTGGTTCTAGCTTGATGGTTGTCTAGCTCATTATTTGAGAATAGTTAGAAACTGGCTGGACGAAAATTATCCAGAAAGATGGATCAGCCGTGGAGGACCAGTCGCCTGGCCTCCACGATCCCCTGACCTAAATCCATTAGATTTCTTTGTGAGGGGATTTCTGAAAGAAAAAGTGTACCGTAGCCATAAGAGATATGCTAATAGACAGAATCAGAAATGCATGTGATGAAATAAGGCCTTATTTGAATAACGCTATACCACGTTCGATCATTCGTAGATGAGAATTGTGTATTGAACAATTGGGTTTACATTTGGAGCAACTACTTTAGATTTTGTATGTTTGTCCTAACTATCCAATAGCATTTTAGTTGTAAATAATTAATTCAATTTGTTAAAAATAATATTGGAAAATTAAACAAATTAATATTCTGTTTTTTGTGTTTATTTGGAGTTAGGAATTATTGCTGTGTTTAAAAACACAATCTAAACGATCACCTCAATTACTTGTAATGCCCAAATCGAAAATGTAAAAAAAATATTATTTTCCCATAAATAATTAAAAATGCATCGAACCTTAAAAATCGAAATATCTCAAAAACGGCTAACTATAACTGAAACTCACAAGAGAGCTTTTTTATGTTGAAAAGTGTGAAGAATCATTTTTTTTATTCAAAAAGCAAAAAATTACAGTAAGAAAATTTTTTAGGTCATTTTAATAAATTACAGGTACAGTAGAGAGCGCCCTCTAGCGGCTACAGTAAAACTATGGCCATGGTTCGTTTTGTCGTACCAAAAAACCCTTGTATACCAATTTTCACTGTTATCAAATATTGTTCGAAATATTCAAAAAAAAACTATTTTAGAAAGTAAATTTAAACACCCTGTATTTCAGAAGCCACGCAATTTTCGACCCATGTTTATATAGACTTTATGCATAACGTTAATTTTAAAAGTTCTATCGAATCTTAAAGTTATGCAACAATAAACTGAAACACCCTGTATATAACGTCAAAACTTTAGTATGACAAGTCTCAGGTACTGTTGAGCGCATTGTGATGAAATTTCTAACAATAGCAACCTAGTAGTAACGAAAAACTGATCGTTTAACTGAAGGGTTAAGTGTCCAGGGCGGGCCTCGATTTTTTTAACTTCTTTGTATTTTATCAACAACTTTCAAGCTGAACATTTAAATATATAGATGGCTGACTAAATACGGAAAAGCCAATTAATGTTGCTTATCGCCAGCAAAACAGATTGTGCCTCTTTTGGTTTTTTAAACATTTTTATTTGATCCAATATATCTTTATCACTTTATGTATCAAGTTAATTCCTCCAACACTTTACAAAATTGTGCCTACAATTGAACTAAAGATCTATCAATGAAATTCTGGGGTCGGATTCAGTTTTTCTCTTGTATTTTATTAAGTGTAATGCCCTGTAGCTTATGCGGAGAATTTACAGTTTTCCTTTAAGCAAAACTCAATACACATTGCACAACACCAGCTTGAAGACACAAGTAGACAAAGTTGCACGTAATAAAATCATATAATGGGGAAAACTGACTTTAAAAATTTGTTATCGTAACTTTTTACTTAATTGACATTTTAACTATTTAGTTTAGTTAGTTTGATTACATCTTGTATTTGCAACAAAGTAATCACAGAATGAATGAATCGTTTTTTAAGATTAGTTTAATGCAAAAAAACTATTTAAGAAATTATATGACACCTTTACCCACTTATGTCTTCAAATGTCATTTATTGTTTTTTATTCTGCGAAATTTGATAAAATCCGAAGGAATAAAAGAACTGACTAGTCCTGGAATTTTGAGTTTGAGTTGATCAGCTTTAGTTCGTCTAAGTACTGCTCAGTAAGATGTTGACAAAATCAACTTGGTAACATTTGAAATGTTGGGTATTGTGTCAAAATAAGATATTCGAATAAATAAACATGTTTAGTCAAGAGACCAAAAGAGGAGCAATCTTTCTATTGGTAATGCCTGAGAACCTTTCAATCATAACCAGGCATTTCAATACTCATCTTGAATTGAGTTGATTTTAATACAAAGAACGTTAAAAAATCGAACCCGGCTAAGGTAACTTCGATATTATGCAAAAATTCATAGAAATTGGTTCATAGCGAGCGAGGTATGTGACATCATAGATTAGGCGTGTCTAGATAAATTACCCTGTATATCTGTTAAAGGAGCGTGTGGCAGCATAACCTCATTTTTTACTAAAACTCATTCCATCAATTTTTATTTTTTTTTTATTATGTAGGCGTACGCCTAAAGTTTTGTTTCACATAGTTTTGATGATCAAGTCAGATTAGGTGATATCGTCTATTCTCCATCCACTGAGTAAACCGATTTCTGACGTTTATCACGGCTCTTGTCAGCATACCAGGCATTGTGTTGACAATTTATTCCTCGTTTTCAAATCTTACGGGATGTCAAAACACCACAAAAAAATCAAAAGGGGCCAAATCGGGTGTGCCTACTCTATGTCGCTTCTAATTAATGATCGTGAAGTGTGTGCAGCTTCATAGTCTTGTTGGAACCAACTGTCCCCTGAGTCCAACTCATCTAGCCGTGGAAAAGACTGCTGTCATATGTTGAGATACCGGTCAGAATTCACTGTCACTGCGACTTCACCTTCCTCAAAGAACCAGAGGGCAAGAATTCCAGCTGAAGATTGCACACCATACTGTGACTTTAGGTGAAGGCCTTTGATGAAATTCGTAAGGAATGATGTCAGCCCAGTAGCGCTTGTTTTGTTTGTTGATGGATCCTCATAAATGAATATGAGCCTTATCACACATGCATTCATCCGGGAGTTGACGTCACGTTCAGAAAGCTCCTGCACAATTTCCATCTTGTAAGAGTAGAAATGAAGATCCCACTGGCTCAATGTTTTCAGTTCTTCGCCTTTTCGCACCTGTAGTTTGTATTAACCTGGTGAGCCAGATATCAATTGATTTCCGGTCCAGGACAGGGGCCAACGGAGTCAAATTAAACCGATTCCAAAACGCGCCCTGGGTTGAGATCACAGAACATATGCTCCAATAAGTTGGCCTGATGGGTAAAAGCACGCTTCTCACTGTCTCAACTAATGAGGGCACCTAAACTGTGTCGGGACAAAACTTTGTAGTCTCGCTTCTCGAAAGATACTACTAGGCGCTCCTCCACGACATAAACCGACTGGATAACGCTTTTTAGAAAAGGAAGTTATGCTGCCGCACCCATAACTTTTTTATGTCACCATAAGATGCCTTAACTATACTGCCACGGATAAACAAAATGTTGCTCAAATTAAATCTGAAATCACTTTTTAACCTTTGCATCAATTTCGTTAATTTTTTCGTAGGTAATTTCTTTGTCATCATTATCGACTGCACCTTGCAAAAAATTGAAAACGTTTATTGTCGTACAGGGTTTGACTAAAAGGTGCATCTTGCCCTAAATTTCTGAACACCCTGTGAAAACACTGGATTACTGAAAAATGTGTCTTCGTACGAGGAATTTAAGACTCAACTTTTCTCAACAGTTCCTTTTTTGATTAATGTCAATATCTCAATTATTGAAAAATATATGGTGTTTTGAAAAAAATCATGCTAATCATAGCCATAAACATATATATATATATATATATATATATATATATATATATATATATATATATATATTCGGGTTTTTTACGACTACTGTCGTTTCCCGCTTCTCAAACGCCACATCTTTCGGTCCATCCAGTCTCCCTCTTAGAGTCCTCATGGACTCTTCAACATCTTGCATCCAACTTCTTGGAGGTCTAGCACGCTTGCGACGCTCTCGTTGTACCCACTCATAGACTTTTTTTGGCCACTTTGTGTTATCCATACGTTGAACGTGACCATACCAAAGTAATCTTTTTGTTTCTATTGTTTCTAAAATGTTGTTGTCTACTCCCATAATTTGTCTAACTCTTTCATTCCTAACATGTTCTAGTCTGGAAATTCTGCAACTTCTTCTCCAGAAATCCAGTTCCAAGGACATGAACTTCTCTTTATTTCTTTTCGTCATCTCCCATATTTCTGAGCCATAGATACAGATACTTTTTACTATAGCTTTGAATATCAATTTCTTTGTTTTTTTTGTCACTCTGGTACTCAATAGAGTCGAATTTATTTTTCTAATTGCTCTTTTACCCTGTGCTATTTTATTTGAAATGTCTTGATTGCTCTTGATATTCACCGTAAACGTTAGACCCAGATATTTGAATGATGTTGTGTTCTGTATGATATGGTTTCCAACATCCAAATCATCCCTCTCGCTGTCACTTTTAATCATATACTCGATTTTTTACATTAATTTTCATTCTCCATCTCACGTACTCTTCTTCTAGTTTCCTACACATGTAACACGAGTCATCTCTAACACCTGCTATCAAAACCTGGTCGTCAGCGAATAAAGGGGTATATAGGACATCTTCTCCCACTGGTATTCCTATATGGCAACATTTCCTCTACCAGTTTACTAAAACTGCCTCAATATTTATCTTGAAAAGTGTTGGCGCAAGTGAGCACCCTTGTCGGTAATCCTTTGGTCACTGGGAATTCCTCTGAGAGTTGTCTGTCGCTTTTGACCATGCTGGTACACCCACAATACAGATTTTTGACAGCATTTACATAGACCCTATCAAAATCACATTTAATCATGGATTCCCATAACATGCATAATGGGACAGTGTCATAGGCCTTTTGTAAACCAATGAATGTTAAGCTTACCGGTCTACCCCTTTCTATCTTGTTGTCAATTAGATTCTTTAAAGTAAAGATCCCATCAATACATGAACGCCCAGATTGGAAGCCGTTCTGTTCTTCAGAATCCCTTACTTGATCTTCAGGTTTAAACTTTAACACCTTCCCATATAATCTAGCTACCGAACATATGACGCTAATTCCTCGGTAGTTGTTACAATCACGTCTGCTTCCCCTACTATAAACTGATGTTATAATGGCCTCTTTCCAGTCAGTAGGCGGATCACAACCACGCAGACATTTATTAAATATGTTCACTAGAATGTCTACTGTCCTACTAGGAGCTGCTTTTAGTAGTTCGGCACTGATATTTCCTAACCCTGACGCCTTGACGTTCTTCATTTGTGACAATTCTATGCAAACGTCTTCAGTGGAGATTAGATGAAGGTGTGGCAGCTCTGTTTCATCTTCATTGAGTATCTCAACTCTGGTTTCTAGGAATTCGTATCTATCTTCAGTCAAAAGCGCTTTATAGTATTCTGTCCACGTATTATGTGTTCTTGAACCTTTTAAAATTTTATTGACCGCTTCACATACTTCCTCCCAGTAATCGTTTTTTGCTTTATTTACTTATAATAATACTTTTCGTCGTATGCGCCTGTACTCTTCTCTATCGTTGCCTTTTTTTGTTACAATCCACCTTCTATAAGCCTCCTTCTTTTCTTCCACAATATGTTCAAGATCTTTAGTCCACCAAGGGGTACGACCTGTTGATCTTACTGAAACTGATTTCATGCCTAAAGCTTCTTTCGCAGCCTCGTTAATCTGCCTCTTCAGCTGTTCAGACATATGGCAAGGCGTATCCAATTTTGTGACTAATCGTAACTGATATAAGAATCTAGTTGAACCATCTATTAGACTATCTAAGTTATAATGTATTTGATCAGTTCCAGCATGGTATACGGATTCAGGTGTTCCTTGATTTGGTCTTATCTTATAGGGAAAGTAGACTTTACTGAGTAACATTCTATGCCTCTAAGCACCCGCACTTCTCTGATATATATATATATATATAAACAATTTAACTTGAAAAATTACAGTGACATGATTGGTAATTAGAAATTGTTATCAAAAACGAGTATTTCCTCCCCGGGCTTGAACAACAGCTCTCATCCTCTCAGGCATAGACTCAATTAAACCAGCTATTGTCTTGGCGTATTTACTCCCACTCGGTTACCAGCGCCTGTTCCAGTGCAGCCACAGTTTGAAATTCTCCATAGTTCTGCCTAAGCTTTCTTCCTAATGTATCCCACATGGGCTCAATGGAGTTGAGATCCGGACTCCTTGGCGGCCAGTCTAGTACTTGAATTCCAACATCGTTAAGGTATTGCCTAGTTATTCTGGCTATATCCGGCCGAGCTTTATCTTGCATTAGAACAAAATTTTCTCCCATAAAGGGCATATGAGGAGCCACATGTTCTTCCAAACACTCTCTAATGTACCTGTCAGCAGTAAGGTATCATCCTCGTAGCGAAACAAAGAAATACTGCCCCATACCATCACTCCTCCACCACCAAATTGCCCTCTAGGAGCAAAACTACTTTGAGCATAGCGTTCTCCACTGCCTCTCCACACTCTTTGGCGACCAGGTGAATATCTCGTGAAATGAAACTCGACTGTAAAAAGAACGAGTTCGAGAAAATACCAAGCGTTGCCTTCGATGACCTACATCCTATAGAGCATCTGTAGCAGATACACAAGATGATAGGTTTCCTTCTCTCAATCTTTAGCGTACGGTATCAGGTTAAATGATGGTACCATGAACATCATCCAGTCTTCGAGTCAAAGCTGTAGCCGGAACTAATCCTTTCTCGAAGAGATTGAAGTCTCAGAAAACGATCTTCAACTGCGTTTCTTGCTTTCCGTCTTCCTTGCCCAGGTTTTTTTGAATAACAACCAGTTTCTCTAAATCTTTGTATCGCATCGAATACCGTACTGCGTGGAACGGTAAGAATTTCTGCGATATATCGAATAGGATGACCATCATCTTGTTAAGCCACAGCTTGCGCTACTTGTTCCGGTGTAATTTTTGTTGAGAATTTCCTGACAAGAAACTTTTTGACATGCCATAAAAATGCTAACAGACACAGCCTACTTGAAACAATTTCTTACCCGGCAAAGCCTGTTTGAAACAATTTCTCGTTTATTGCTATGATTCGCATGATGAATCGAAAAAAGAATTGTTGAGAAAAGTTGAGGCTACTTATTCAGTAATACAATGTTTCCACAGAGTGCTCAGAAATTTAGGGCAAAATGCACCTTTTAGTTAAACCCTGTATAACAACAGACATTTTCAATTTTTTTGCAAGATCTGCAGTCGATAATGATTTCAATGAAATTACCTACAACATGACTAAAAAATTAACGGAATTGATGCAAAGCTTGAAAAGTTATTGAAAATTTAATTTGAACAAAATTTTGTTTGTTTGATTTTGCATGGCAGTGTACTCACTAGTTTGTCAAGATTGTATTAAACTATACACAGACGTTCAAATTATTAATTCCCAGCGTCGTCCTTTAGAGGTACGCATCACCGAAGCTAAGCGATATTCTACAAGTCGTCAGGAAACAAAATTGTACAAAAAATATCTTGAACTTTGAATGCTAGTCTCATGTTTGGGAAACATTCGGTATAAAAATTTTCTTTCATTCCATCCACTTGCAGTTATTGCTACATTGGATAGCCATATATTAACTGGTGATTTATCGTTGGATGGTGATTGAAAGGTAATTTGAATCGATCGAAATTGGTATTTTAGAGTTATAGCTCCAGTAATTGCTTTTTTCCTGGCGTTGATATAGTAGTTGCAATTAAAGTGATACTAAACTGCACGGAAGGATATAAATGGTCATTTGGATGTGACAGCAAGCTGCGATTTTTAAAGTTTCGTTTTTCACGGTCGATAGGTGGTAACCGTGCAATAGATCTGATTCTGGACCAGCACCAATGCTATAGATGTGCTAAATAACATGTTGACTTAAATTTATTAGTCAAAAATAGCAAGAAAAAAAAGGATTAATATATTTTCGATATCCATCAAAACCAAGGAACGGTATTAGTTCTTTCTGAACTTAGTGCCTCATGATTTTTCAAGAAGTTGGCGTCACAGAGATATGAACATCTCGGATCATACTGTGACTCATGAGATCAATTCGGCTAACTAATACCATACACAATATTTATTAGTTACAATGAATGGTTTTATTAAGGATGAACGGACAGCGAAGTATTATACTTCCGTACGTAGGTAAAAGGCAGCAAAGTTTATTATCTGCCTTTTTTAAATTCTAATGCTGATACATTTCTTTTATGATTGCAATTATAAAATATATCACTGTCAACGTGATTTAGTCAATCAATTTATCAATGTAAGAAGCAGTTGTTTTCAAAATATACTGATTTTATTCTCTGTATCATACAAGTACTGCCAGTCTGCCCTTTATAACCCATTATGGTGTTTACTTATATAGTTTTTTTATGTAATACTTATATTATTTGTGACTACGTCTGAATCGCCATAAATAATTACTCTTGCTTTAGGAATAGTAATTTTAAAAACATTCCCCGCCCAAGATATGGGTATAAAAAAGCATGATGTTCCAAGTCTATTTATAAAATTATTTCCCGTTCCTCTGGAGGCTTACCTCTTTTGCTTCTGAAATGAGGTTGTCAAATTAATGTCCTTTTCGTTTATCGACTAGCAGCCGTCGTATTCACATGACCATACCACCTTAATGTGCGTCTCTCAATTTCTTCTGTCACTGATGTTTGAACGTTCATTCTTCGCTTAATTCCATCATTTCTCTCTAGCCCCGAAACTCGGCACCCTTTTCAGAAGAAATACATTTCTGTCGCCTCCACTCTTTGTCCGAACCGTTTTGTCATTTCCCATACCTCTGATCCATATAGTAGAATGCATTGTGCAATTGTCTGGTATACTCTCAGTTTAATGTGTCTACAGGGTGACAGGTAAATAGGTGTAAAACATTTTAGGAGGTGATAGTACAACCCCTTTGCTATCGAAATTAGTATATAATACCATACCCTATATTCGAAGGTTGAAAAGTTATTGAAGATTTAAGATTTTTTTAAAAACAGTACATATTTCAGAGTAAAAAAGTCGAGAGAGAAAAAAGTTGGCGATTAAACATTTGTTTTTTGTAGTTTTGGGTTATTATTTCAATAATTAACTATTAAAAATCAAAAAAGATTCAAAAACAATACCAAACAACGTATTTATTTTCATTCAAAAATGTTTAACTAAGAAAAACAAATAACGTTTTACAGTAAGTAAGGTAAACGTACAAATAATTTAAATAATATCCTTGTTTCATAAGGAATCTAAATTGGTATGATAAGTGCACAAAAACTGTGTGAAACTAAACACAATGTATTGTAATACAACAATAGGGAGTAAATTTACCAATGGCTCGTCTCCTATTTTCACAACTCTCTGATTGATTATTGTGAAAATAATGTAACTGTAAGCTATGGGATAGTTATTATTTTAAACTACGGTTAAGGTACACGATTAGATTATTTACACAGTTGTAATTGCACTACAGAATAATAAAAACTGACTAAAAGTTACTACAATTGGTAAGTAAAATACAATAATGAAATGAAGGTAAAATTCATTGCAATTGTTGTTCGAACTGACGCCCGCCGTTTCTTATGCAAGCTCGTAGTCTTTTTCTCATGTTGGTACGCGTGATGCGGCCAGTTAGTTGTCCTCTGATAGTGTCAGCAGCAGCAATAATTCTTTCTTTCAACTGTGCAAGAGTGTCTATGGGCTCAGCGTACACCAGTGACTTCATGTGCCACCATAAATAATAGTCACACGGTGTTAAATCTGGGTTCCTCGCTGGCCACGGTGTCGGTCCGCCTGGGCCAATCCAGCGACAAGGATATTTCTCGTCCAGCCACTGTCTAACACCCAGACGGAAATGCGCGGGACAGCCATCGTGTTGGTAGATCATCTGCATCCTGATATTCAGAGGCAGGTGTTCGAGATACTTCCAGAGTTCGGATCTCAAAAAGTTTTCATAGGATTCGCCGTTCAGGTTGTCAGGCAAAAAAACTGGTCCAATTAGATACGTATGAATGATTCCCATCCACACGTTTGCCGAAAATCATCTTTGATGGGCTCTTGGCTTTGCCATGTGGGGATTTGCCTCTCGTGGGGCCCAATAATGTAAGTTGTGATAATTTGTTGTCCCTCTCTGTCAAACTTAGACTCGTCGGTCCACAATATTTTAGTTGAATAGTCGTTTTCTTCTTGATCCCGATGAAGCATGTATCGACAAAAATCAATTCTTCTTGCGGGATCTCCTTCTTCTAATACTTGAACCGGTGTGTAATGGAAAGGGAAAGTCTCGCCGAATGCAAAACGAACCAAACTTTCCACTGAGTTAAACCAAGCTGCTTTGCTATAACTCGTGTAGACGTCGTCGGATCTCTGCCGTAGCATTCGAGTATTGCCTATCGATCTTCGTCGTGAAACAACAGAGGTCTACCAGCATCATGACGTCTCTCATGAACCTGTCCACTTTCTTTGACGCGTTGGTACACAGAAGCAAATACTCGATGCCTCGGTATTCGCCGATTCGGAAAACGGTTTTCGTATTCTCGCCTGGCTTCAACGGAATTTCCATCACTTAAGCCATAACAAAACAGAATATCAGCGTATTCTTCGTTACGTTACGGTAACTCGCCATTACTAAAACTGATAAAAAAAGTAAAAGTACGTCCTACCGCGTTAAAGGTTGATATTCTACTAACTAACCTAAGCGTTAGTTCCCTTTCCTTGATCCGTCAGCTGTGTCAAATCATAACACACGCAGAGCTTGC